AACCATTCATTCATTCATTCATTCATTCTCTTGCTTCCTCCACATTCATCAATCTTTTCATACACGCTCACCGGTTACGGGCACTTTTAATTAGGCCCTTCTTCAGCACGTCGCCTATTTGGTCGACATACGTCCGCCTAGGGCGGCCCCAACCTACATCTCCATTCATTCTTGCTCGATAAATCTCTTTTGTAATTCTCCTCCATCATCTTTTTTTTATCTGAAAGGGTATGATTGGTTCCGTAGAAAATTCATTAAAATCAGTTTTCGTACTTAAGTCTTAGAATTTAAATAACCGGTTTTGATACAATTGAAGTTTTATTATTACGCAACTTACGTCGCCTATAGACATGACCAGTACCGTGGACATAACAGAGTGTACTGTTTCGCCCATGATACCCCCTATGCGTTGTCATTCCTGAGGACTTAGGTGTTATTCCTCTATACCCTGTAAATTCACTGTCATATCCCAGCTTTCAAATTGAAACACAGCCATGCAAACACAACTGCTTCACGGTAGAAACACGAATGGGACAGAGGTACCCAAGCAATCGACTTTTGTATAAAGTTGATTTTGCATTGTGGAATAAAGTCTTAAATCATGTACATTATACACTTACTAATGTTTTTAATGGATGATAATGGAATGGTAACCCCGCCTGCGCTATCGGTATACACTGGCGGGGCACCAGTGAGGGGTGATAGGTAACGATGAAAGCGGAATAAACCTCAACGATTTCCACGACCGCGTGGAAATCGACCTGCTATATTTCTAACGGGGCCGCCAGTCCCCATTCCTAACAATCCCATGCCCCCGCGAATATATTTAAATTATCAAGTGAAGTTAGATTTCACGTATCCACCTGCGCAAGCGTCGACCGGCATTGTGCGCGCGCGCAAGCAGTCGGGTCACCACGCGTTGCGCAATATTTTAGGATATTGTGTCAGCGAGAATAAATTATTCTTGGGAAACAATATTGCGCATTATGACTTGTCATTATAGAATGTCAAACATAAAAATTGTTTTTCAATATATCCAATAATCTGTCAGAATTTTAACTACAATAAATATAATTTATAATGGATTTTTTTTAATTGATGATAATGGAATGGTAACCCCGCCTGCGCTATCGGTATACGCTGGCATGACACCAGTGAGAGATGAATTGTGAGAATGAAACAGCAGGTCATTTAGCCCACCGTGACGAATGCAACAATGAACCAATCACTATGGTTTCCAGGGGGAACCGCGAGGAGGTCGATCTGATAGGGTATATTGATATTAATAGCTAATCCCCATTACTAATAATCCCTTCCCCCCAATTTATAACCTATAATTTTTAAATCATCATAACAGCCTTTAACTGTCCACTGCTGGACTTAAGGCTCCCCCTAGGAGGTTTTGCCAGTTGTTGCCACGCTTGGCTAGCGAATTGGCAACCGCAGTTAGGCTTTGGAGATGTTTTAAGAGGGACGCCGCTTCCTATCCCTCGTCCTCCCTTAGTCGCGTCTTACGACACCCACGAGAAAAGAAGCGGTGGCTCATTCTATGCCGGGACCTACACGGCTATTATTAAATGTAATTTAATAATTCCTAATTTGCTGTGCGGTCCCGGCATAGAATAGGCCACCCCGTTCCTTTCCCGTGTGTGTCGTAAGAGGCGACTAAAGGAACTGAACGGTAGAGGGATGGGCAGCAGCGTCCCTCTCAAAACATCTAAAATAACGTCGCCAAATCTGAGCCGATTTTCACAATACATTTTGCAATCTATAAGACTTGTTCTCGTGTCGGTTCCGTATTAGTTTTTTAATGTTTGAGTCTGCCATTTTTTACAGAGCAAAAAAATGCTTGTTGACACGCGATTCCGCGTTTTAAATTCTAATAGATAGATAGATAGATAGATAATTTATTTGCATATTACTTACAGCACACAAACAGCAAACGACACAAATGCAAAGTGAAAAAAGATAAAAAAAAGATTCATGTACAAAAGATTAAAAAGAAAAAATCAAAAACAAAATCAGAATGTATAAAATTAGTAAAAAAAATTTTTTTTTCTTCATGCGTGTTCATTAAGTACAAAACATCTAAACATATATATATATATATATATATATATATATATATATATATATATATATATATATATATATATATATATATATATATATATATATATATATATAAAAGATGTTTTCTTGTGAAATCTGTTACTATTATCAGCCATTACCCGTATATATATCGTCATTTCAGCCATTATCCGTCCAGTGCTGGACATAGGCCTCCCCCATAGACTGCCATAAGGAACAGTCCCGAGCCACCTGCATCCACTGTCTCCCTGCAATGCATTTAAAGTCGTCACTCCATCTAGCGTCTTACACTGCGTATACGGGGTTAGCGCACTTAAGAACCTTTCTTCATGTAATTGTAACATGAACTAGCTTTTTTTAACCAATTCGTACAAATGGTTTTCGGAATAATAGGGTAAACAAGTAAATCCATGAATTAGAGCAGTTTTAAATAGCGAATCGATAAAAAACTTATACCAAATTTTAAGTCAAACTTTAAAAAATACTGCTGTGAGAACCGCATCCAATTTTATGTAGCAGTTTTTCCGTGATTCCCGGAATAAACAGACAGACAAAATTTCCGAAAAAATATTACTACCAAAACGTCATCTTATTAATTTTTCTTAAATATCTTCCATATACCAGAGGGAGACTTTGTACAAAAGTCGATTGCTTGGATACCTCTGTCCCATTCGTGTTTCAACCGTGAAGCAGTTGTGTTTGCATGGCTGTGTTTCGGTTTGAAGGGTGCGATATGGCGTGAATTTATAGGGTACAGAGGAATAACATCTGAGTCCTCAGGAATGACAACGCATGGGGGGTATCATGGGCGAAACAGTATACTCTGTTATTTCCATGGTACTGCTCATGTCTATAGGCGACGGTATATATATATACTTTCCATCAGATGGGCATGGGCGTCAGCTTGTTTGTTCATTCTAAGTTGTATAAAAAAAATCTAGGTACATTAGGTACAATTTTATTATACTGGTAAAATAAATGGTGATTGAGACGTCTCACAGTTGTGGTAACATAATAGACACACTACTCCCCCACTATTTCCCCACCACTGTGTCCAAATAGCCAGTCAGTAGTCAACAGGCGGCACGAAAGTGTAACCGTTTCTGTTCGTAACAAAAAGTTGTGCTTGCATTTCCACTGTGTGTTTGTGTTCACCGTTTATTTGTGTTTGTGTTTGTATTTAATATATTTACGTTTATTAATTAGTCGTTACTGTATTTGTTCTATAATATATTTGTGTAAATTAAGAGTGTAAATTATATATTATTTGTAATTAATATAACGAAGCCTTCTCTCAATGTCAACAAGTTATAATATTTCTAATTTGAATTTATTAATTAATCATGTATTTACTTATAAAATGTATTGGAATTTAACAATTTAATAATGTAATTATCATTTAACATTAATTTTAATTAATCACTAATCATTAACGCTTACTTTATTTTTAATATTAATTTAATTTGTTTATTTTAAAACACTATGTGCGCAATAAAAATAAAATTCATTAAAAATCGGACAGAAAATGGCTGAAATTATCATGTTGATTATTAATATTATATTAAATTGTTAAAATTAAACATTTTACAACATTCGTTAAGTAATGATGGGGTCATTGCTTTGTTTAAATATGGTACTAGATTCAATTGTCGATTAAGTTAATTTAAAACATGAAAGTTTCTGAATTGACTCAGATCTGGGTGTACTGCGTGTACCTCCAGACGTTCCTCGCCTGGTTTCTCATAATACAGTGTGTCCTAAATGGAGGAGTAGGCGATAGTGTGATTATATAGTATTTATTTATTTCTTTATCTATTTATTATTTTATTTATATAAGAAATTAATGCAACAACCTTCATGGAATAATAATAGTGACCCGTGTGAATGTAAATTAGCCATAATTATCTGTACAATCATGAGAATAATGTTTAATTGACAACAATTGTCAGTTGTACAGAGGTATTTTCGTTTATTATGGTTAATAGGCCACCCCTTCCTCTCCCGTTGGTGTCGTAAGAGGCGACTAAGGGACGGCGAGGGATGGACAGCAGCGTCCCTCTTAAAACATCTCCAAAGTCTAACTGCGGTTGCCAACCCGCTTACCAAGTATGGCAACTACTGGCAAAACCATCCAAGGGGGAAGCTTTAGTCCAGCAGTGGATAGTTAACGGCTGAAATAATAAACTATGCTAGTTATCAAAATTATTGGTTTAGCCATTAATAAGCCAAGAGGAAATAAACAAATGATCTTTTACAATATTAATAATTAAAATGAATATCCATTACTCCATTAAAAAAAAAATATTCAGAAATGTCAACACATTTTTTTCTTATTATTGCTATTCTAAATTTGAAGATGTATGAAATTGCATTAACAAAGAAAATATTAAAAATGTATAAAATTAAATTTTAAATAAGAGACAATTTAATGCAAACTATTATTTAATTATAGAATGAAAGAAAATTATATTTATATTACAAAATATATAATTATAATTCATATTATAATATATAATTATTATACCTTTTTTTTTTTTTTATACAACTTAGAATGGCAAACAAGCTGACGGCCCACCTGATGGAAAGTGGTAACCGTCGCCTATAGACATGAGCAGTACCGTGGACATAACAGAGTATACTGTTTCGCCCATGATACCCCCCATCCGTTGCCATTCCTGAGGACTCAGGTGTTATTCCTCTGTACCCTGTAAATTCACGCCATATCCCACCCTTCAAACCGGAACACAGCCATGCAAACACAACTGTTTCACGGTTGAAACACGAATGGGACAGAAGTATCCAAGCAATCGACTTTTGTACAAAGTCTCCCTCTGGTGCCTATATAACTGGGAACTATATACCTATTTAACTGGGAATTTATATTTTTTAATTTTTGTTATAACTCTACTTATTTATTTTATGTGTAAACTCATATATTTATTTATTTATTTAATAATATTGGGATGGAATAATAAAAAAAACTTTACATCTATTTTATATGGGTTTGTCATCATCATCATGGCTTCTCTCCATTAATTCTAATCACTTTCGCCATCACCAGCTAGCATTATTAAAACCGACTAAATTATTGTTGCAGGCTAAATTAATCATTGAATGAAAGAGAGAAAAAAAAAAACATTATAAATGCATGACAATAACCAGAATGGACCTGGACAGGGCATAGGGCAGACAATAATTATATTTTTTAAGGACATTTTTTATCTTTATTTCAAGTTCGCACTATACGCGTTAGCTATATATGTTCTATTTTATTATTATGATTATTATTTTGGTTAGTGAGCAGTTGTTTCCTCTTTGTATTATTAGTAGCAGCAATGTGAAGTGAGCTAAGTGTTGACAGTGAAAAAGTGTAGTGTTTAAATGAATTGAAAATTTTTATTTGGAACTTTACACTTTGTTTTATCGCAACGGAGTTTATATTTGGTAAGTTAATTTTATTTTATTCTTTAATAAACCTTCAATTAATGTATTTTTAGCATAAATCAAATAAATGAGTAAATCATCTAAACCAAGCAAAGCTTGTATATATATATATATATATATATATGAATGACGACTTACGCTATGAAAAGTGATAATCGTAGCCTATAGATATCCTAGGCGTCACAGAATACACTGTGACGTCCACGGTACCGTTTCGCGCGATATATTTTAAAGTAACACAAATACATGGAACCCGCGACCGTTTTCGCGAAAAACGACCACTTTAACCGTTATAACAGTGCAGTCTGTCTGTCAACGGCAATGAAACAAAAACTGCGCTGTCCACAATGGCGGCTAACGGGTTAAAATACTTACGGCCATTCTTGGTGCGAGTATTTTGAAAGACCCAATACGGTTACTGAATAATTTATGAAAACACTAACTAACTATTATTTATACTAACATAAATTATTTATAGGTAACTGCCTCCGGTACGTTGGCCACGTAACTGGATAAAAAAAGCACTAAATAAGTAATAAATGACAAATTAATGAATAAATCTTGGATAAATTACACAACGCTATCTAGTTAAAGGTGAACGAAGCTCAGTGTACTCATATTTATTAACTTGTTTTTTTGTAAACTCAATTTTTGTTCGAAAACATTGTCGTTTGCTTGGATACCTCTGTCCCATTCGTGTTTCTACCGTGAAGCAGTTGTGTTTGTATGGCTATGTTTCGGTTTGAAGGGTGGGATATGGCAGTGAATTTACAGGGTACAGAGGAATAACACCTGAGTCCTCTGGAATGGCAACGCATGGGAGCTATTACAGACGAAACAGTATTCTGTTATGTCCATGATACTGTTCATGTCTATAGGCGACGGTTACCACTTTCAATCAGGTGGGCCGTTAGCTTGTTCGCCATTCTAAGTTGCATGAAAGAAAAATAAGAAAAAAAAAAATATCCGAATCGATCCCGGCGTCTTCGAATAATCGGAGGAATAATTAGAACTAAAAAAATAAAAAAACTAAAGATTCCGACCAATCGAGAACCTTGACGTTTTCTTTGTTTGATAGAGTTTAAAAATATATATATATTAAAACATTTCGTTTACGCATTACATACAAAACAACGATTTGTAAGAATCGATAAAAACAAATCGAATAATCGACCCGTGCCGTTTCTGTAATCGATCTTGTTAATAATAGTGATGTAATTGTCGACCTCGATTATATGTAGACAATTCGATACAGCATATCGATTCCTTTCAAATTGTCCACCATTTCGTAACTAAACGTGAGCTTGTGATGGATTATACGGTTTTATATTAAATCACGACTGTTCATCATTATCATTTATGAACGCAGTGATAACTCATCCGTCATACTCGAGAACGAGTGCTTTTAATTAATGATAATGGAATAGTAACCCCGCCCGCGCTATCGGTATACACCGGCGGGACACCAGTGAAGGATGATAGGTGAGGATGAAGCAGGTCAGTTAGCCCATCGTGACGAATTCAACAAGAATTGTTCACAATGGTTTACAGGGGGAACCACGTGGAGTTCGACCTAATAAGGCATATTGCTAGCAATAGCATAAAATTAGACAAGATGTTTTCTAGGGGGAACCGCGTGAAACTCGAATGAACTCCCTGCCAAGGTTTTCCCTTGAGACTGACAACGCTCACGTGACACCCCTAGTGTCGCAGGCGTCCATAGGCTACAGTGACCGTTTACCATCAGACGGGCTGTATGCTTGTTTGTCACCTTCGTGGTATAAAAAAGAAAACAAATGTATTAAATAAAAAAAGAAATTAAAAAAGTCAGGAAATTTATTAAAAGTTGATTACTACATTTATTTATTTATTTATTTAAAGGAACACCAACAGCATATTGCATTATAACATCTTATATATATAAAATTCTCGTGTCACGGTGTTTGTTACCAAACTCCTCCGAAACGGCTTTACCGACATTTATGAAATTTTGTGTGCATATTGGGCAGGTCTGAGAATCGGCCAACATCTATTTTTCATACCCGTCAATGATAAGGGTGACCTTCCCCAAAATATTTTTTTTTATTTTTTTATCAAATTTTTCCATTTTTATTTTATTATAATTTAGCATTGAAAAATACATACATCTTTAAATTTTCATCGTTTTACGATCAACCCATGTATTTTAATTGCGATTTTTATATTTCGCAATAAGTGGTAAAACAACGTTTACGGGGTCAGCTAGTATAGGTATAACAAACATTAAATATAACACAATATTAATGCACACGCTTACTGAAGGTATTCACAGCATTTACTTTAACATAGTTATACAGTGCAAGAAAATGAAGTAACAATTATAACGAACGCAAACAACAAATATTTTTTGTTTTTTTATACAACTTAGAATGGCTAAAAGACTTTTGGATTAATTCAAAACAATTGTCGAAATTATTACAAGGTACAACATTATGAGGTACAATTATTCTTCATACTCCTGGCCGGGTTCACTACCAGAGGGAGACTTTGTACAAAAGTCGATTGCTCGGGCACCTCTGTCGCATTCGTGTTTCAACCGTGAAGCAGTTGTGTTCGCATGGCGGTGTTTCGGTTTGAAGGGTGGGATATGGCGTGAACTTACTGGGTACAAAGGAATAACACCTGAGTCCTCAGAAATGGCAACGCATGGGGGGTATCATGGGCGAAACAGTATACTCTGTTATGTCCATAGTACTGCTCATGTCTATAGGCGACGGTTACCACTTTCCATCAGGTGGGCCGTCAGCTTGTTTGCCGTTTTAAGTTGTATAAAAAAAAGGTTATAGTATACTTTTCATCACGCTACGATCAATAGGAGCAGAGCAGTGAAGGGAAATGTGTCTGTTACATCAAAACCACTGACCCGTGAGGAAGGACATAGGCTACTATTTTACGAAAAACGACGGAAACGCGGACGAAGTCGTAGGCAACAGCTAGTATATTACTAAAATTAGATTCAATGTACTCAAACTGATATCTAGTCAAAATATTTACCTACCAACTATATCCCGGGTCTTTACGTACGGGAATCAGGACATAAAGTATTCTAGGTACTAAGCTTTTCCCAAAGTGGGCGATAGCGCCCCCTTGTGAGCGCTGCAGACCTAAAGGGTGGCGATAAGAGACCCAGAAAAAAAATGGGGGCGTTGTGTAGAAGCTTGAGGGGTGTTTTGATGGGTGAAAATGGCATGGTAACCCCGCCTGCGCTAACGGGATACGCTGGCGGAGCACTAGTGAAGGGTGATAGATGAGAATGAAAACAGGCCAGTTAGCTTATCATGTTCATCAGGAATTAACCATGATAGTTTCCAGGGGGAACCGCGAGCAGGTCGACCTGGTTGGGTATATTGCTAGCAATGGGATTCTCAGTCTCCATTACTAACAATGCCTTTCCCTCCCTGAAGCTTGGGGGTGCTTTGTTGATCTTGAAGCAATAATGGTTTTTAAGTAAGTGAAAAAATGGGGGCCCAAAAAAAATAATCTATTCTCAAAGTGGGCAATAGACAAAATAAGTTTGGGAACACCTGTACTAAATTAAATTGTGTTTAAATTATTTCTATATTATCGATCTTATATTTTGATAAACTTTTATTTTAACAATTTAATATTCGTCAAAAGAATAAAATAAATTAAAAAAAAAACTAAATACACATCCGGTTTTGTCTGAACGGCCTTCCAAGTCGCTCGAAGGTCAAATGGACGCATGTGTACAGATGTATGTACCTATTCAATCGTAAATACGTTCATTTAATTATAAAACGTATTTTTCACTGTGTACCACAACCACTCTTTGGAATCAACGTCCAGCAGCAGTATTTCCGAACCGATACGACAACATAACCTTCAAGAAAAGAGCATATTCCTTTTTAAAAGGCCGGCAGCACACCTGCAATGCCTCTAGTGTTGTGGGTGATCATGGGCGGCGGTAGTCACTTACCATCAGGTGAGCCGCATGCACGTCTGCCCCCTGTGTTGTAAAAAAAAATGGGACTGGTAGTCCGCATTTTTTTTAATGGATGATAATGAAATGGTAACCTCGCCTGCGTTAACGATATACACTGGCGGGGCACCAGTGAGGGATGACTAGTGAAGATGAAAGGCAGGTCAGTTAGCCCATCGTGACAATTCCACTAGAATTAACCACGGTGGTTTCCAGGGGAGACCACGTGGAGGTCGACCTGTTAGAGTATATTGCTAGCAATGGGGCAATTTTTTTTATACAACAGAATGGCAATAAGCTGACGGCCCGCCTGATGGAAAGTGGCAACCGTCACCTATAGACATGAGCAGTACCATGTACATAACAGAGTATACTGTTTCGCCCATGATACTCCCCATGCGTTGCCATTCCTGAGGACTCAGATGCTATTCCTCTGTACTCTGTAAATTCACGCCATATCCCACCTTTTAAACCGAAACACAGCCATGCAAACACAACTGCTTTACGGTTGAAACACGAATGGGACAGAGGTACCCAAGCAATCGACTTTACTAACAATCCCTTTCCTCCTTACAACACAATACAACAAACACCCCCCAATCCTCTTAAACTTTCCTATACATAACAGTAGCAAGATGTAAAAGTGAATTTGTTTATTTGTTACCTAACTGTTAGCATCTTAACGGCTCAACCAATCGGCATTATATCTATCAGGCGGCACGACAGCGCCTCGGCCAAGTTAAGCGCAGTCGTACCTTGCCTTTCTCGAGCGATTCACGGCACTACTGACCCCTGTAACTTATTTGTGGATAAAGCAAGAAGTCTGAACTTAGTGATCAATATGACATACTGTAACTATATATGTATGTATATATATACACATATAACGCATGGGGGGTATCATGGGCGAAACAGTATACTCTTCTGCTCATGTCTCAGGTGGGCCGTCAGCTTGTATATATATATATATATATATTTCCAATATACCTAATAATTATACCTTACATTTTACGAATCATCA